TGAAAAGCAGCTCAAGGACATATAGAAATTAATTGACGAGTTGAAAAATCTAAGGTTGTAGCAGCAAGCCCCCGACTTTAGACAACGCTCTTCTCAGTTTGTTCTTTACTTCGGAGCCTTACCAAGAAGGGTTCAAAATTCCTCATTTGGAAACATATGATGGCTTTGGTGATCCAAATGAACACTTGCATACTTATCAAGCCATCATAAAGATACATAATGTAATGGATGTCATGATGTTTAACGTATTTTTGGCAACTTTAAAGTCGACGACCAAGAGATGGTATCACAAACTTCCCAAGCATTCTATCATCTCTTCTTCTTAGCTCGCCACCTTATTTTCTAATAAATTTGCAAGCCAACGAGAAATAAAACGTACAGCCACAAAGTTGATGTAGGCCCATTAGAAAGAAGGAGAGTCACTAAGAGATTATATGTAGTGTTTAATAAGGCCTATTTGGACATTGACAATGTCCCTGACATGAGTTGCTTATCTGCCTTACTACATGGCCTTAAACCTAGTCGGTTCCTAGATGACTTGGTAGAAAATCCTCCGAAAACATGGAATGAAGTGAATGACAGATCGGCAAGTTTCATCCTGTCTGAAGACTTCCAAACGTCCAAGCAACAAGCTGATGATAAGCAGGGTAAAGAACATAGGCAGTAGGAAGAAGGAAGAGAGGAAAAGAAAAAGCAAAACATTATCGACCATAGAGGAAAACTTGCTGGCTTTCTAAAGTATGCCAATTACACCCCACAGAGCTTATCTAGATCACAAATCTTAGCTCGAATTCAGTAATGGGTTAAGAGGCCAGCTCCTCTTCCTTTTGATCCAATGCGAACAGATAGGAGTAAATATTGTGACTTTCACAGTGGCTATGGTCATCACATTGAGGACTGTCAGAGTTTAACTGAAGAGCTGGAGTTTTTGGCTTGAAATGGAAAATTAGAAGAGTATATCTAGAAGTCTTTTCCTCAATAGCCTAACCAAACTCATTATGTGCAAGATTATAACTAGCCACAAACGTAAGGGTAGTAGATTAGTAACAACCAGAGCTCATATTAAAGAAGCCAATTTTCCTTTGAACCCAACAAGAATTATAGAGGACATCAAGGTGGTAGAAAAGGGTAAGGACAAAGAGTTGCCACCTAGAATTAGAAGGATAGTAAGGTATAAGGCTATACCGAAATCCCTCTGCCAACAAGCATGATAAATATGATTTCTGGTGGAATGCATGCAAGAGGTCAAAGTGCTGGTGGTCGTGAAGCCGATGCCTATCAAGTGATAACCCTAAACAAGAAGAAACCCTTGAAGCGACATTTTGAAGATGCCGAGTGAGAGAATGCACCCATCATGTTTAACCCGTTGAACTATAAAAGACTTGAAGGAAAGCCTAATATTATTATGCCATATGCGAATCCATTTGTAACCACAGTACACATTGGCAATCACAATGTCAATATAGTCTTCATTGACATTAGAAGTTCCCTTGACATCTTGTATTGGGAATGCTTCCAAAAGATGCAATTGAACCTTGCTTCCTTAAAAAAGTATGAAGGACCAATATACGAGTTTGATAATTAATTTGTTCTTGTCGAAAAAGTAGTAATACTCCTGATTTACATGGGTACTGAGCTCAGGTTCAGAATGGCTTCAGTGAATTTTCTTGTTGTTAAGATGGAATCAGCCTTTAATGCCATAATTGTGAGAGGTACACTCTACAAACTCAAAGCTGTCATTTCTTAGCCACATGTCATGCCCCAAAACCCAATTTCGAGACGCGACAGACGTCGTGCACTCGTGAGAT